CCCCAGCTGAGAGGCGGGAACTATCCAACCAGGTTTGCACAAAACTGGAAGCACAGTGTGTTCAAACGATTTGCCCAAAATCACATAGCTAGGTGGAAGTGACTGAGCCAGGATGCAAACTGGCTCCGCAGGACACCACACCAAGCCCCACTCTTTCCACTATCCTCTGCCAAGTTCCTGGTACCCCAATTACCAATGAGACAGAGGAGGGGTGCAGAGGGCTATGTCTCTGTCTTCAGCAGCTGGCTTGGAGGTTGGGGACACCTAAAGAATAGCACAGTTCTATGTACCTGCGAAAGGTTGCCCGTGGCCTCAGAAATTGTGGTACATGTCCCAGGGCACCCACTATTAACTGTGTGACCACGGGAAGTCACTTCACCTCACTGTGCCTCACTTTCCTCATCTGTAAAGTGGGGATAGTAACTGTGTGGACATTAAAGGAAGCAACAAATCTAGAAATATCTAGCGAGGGGCCGGCATGTAGAGCATACCCAACCCCTAGTTACTAAATGTGACACAGCGCGGTTATCTCCCATCACCAGGAGTAGGAGAGAGGGATAGAATGGGGCCTGGGGCTCAGAGCTCCCCACCTCGCATCTTGTCATTTCCTTCAGGAAGGGCCCCACCCCCACTGGGTACCTGTCAGGGAGGGAGTCCTGGGGGAGCTGGAGGTTCTCAGTCCCTACCCAGCAGCCCCCCCGCACTGCACACAAACACACCCCCTTCTACATAGCCCTCTGCAGGGAGGTTGCTCCACAGTGTGCTGTCCGACATTCTCCAGGGCAAGGCGGAGTCCACAGCTGTGGTCCAGCTGCAGAACCCAGCCCGGCCGGCTGGCCCCAGGCCAGAGACAGGAAGCCAGGAAGAGCTGGACATGCCTGCTGGCCGCTGGGGCAGGGTGGACGCCAGGGACTGGAGCCGGGCCAGGCCTGCTTAGTGCATTGTGTTGAAAGGACTGTACGGGAGAGCTGCGCAGGGTGACTGTCACCCTTGGTTGCCTAGAGGGCTCTGGGGGTGGGGTGAGGTAAGAGCACTGGGGTGGTAGTCTGAAAACCTGGGATTTAGTAGGATGTTGCCACTAACTCACTGTGTGACTTGCATTAGCCCCTTCTCTTGTTTTCCCATATGCGAAACTGGAAATACTTATTGAGCTCTTCATGGCAGATACAGTTCTAGGGAATACACGAGCAGGCAAGACAAAGTCCCCTCGCTCCTGAAGCTTTCATTCTACCAATAAACAAGCAGATGGGAAAAGTGATGAAAAGGTCTACGAAGAATAATTAAGTGGTGTGAAGGGACAGAGAGTGAGGGGTCTGGGATGGCCTCTCTGAGAAGGTGACATAAACAGAGAAAAGGAAAAGAGGAAGGGACCCACATGAATATCTAGGGGAAGCACATGCTGGGCAGGGAGAACAGTAAGTGCAAAGGCCCTGAGGCAAGCACGTGAGGCAAATCGAAAAAACAAACTCAGGAAGCAGCAGGGCTGGAAGGAAATGAGGGAAATAAAGGTCGAAGCTGATAGAGCCCAGCTCATAGAGCTTGGAGTCCATTGTAGGGGCTTTACATTTTACTCTGATCAGTTGACCCCAGGAAAGCTAGCCCTGATCTGAGGACAGAGCCCGCCTAGTGTTGTGTGTGTGTGTGTGGGGGGGGGGGACAACTTCAACCTCTGATTATTTACCCTGGAGTCCTAGCCAGGTCCTTCAGGCATAGAGTAATGGGCCAGGGACTAAGGTGGGGTGTGTAAGGTCTAGAATGAGTGAGGCACTCAGGGCTCAGGTGTAAAACTTAAGGGAACATCAAAATATTCAATTATTAAGATAAACAGTATTTTCCTGCAATATATCTAAAAATCAAAATTAATACAAAAAAAAAAAACCATGATGAACAAAATGCCAACATTTTAAATAAAGACAGGATCTAACCCTGAATTTGCACTATCTAATGTCACTCACCTCACTCTAACCTCGACCCTGGTTCCAATAAAACTTTATTTATTAAAAAAACAGGTAGCTGACTGGCAGGGCTGTAATTTGCTGATTTCGTTTTTAAAAAATTTTGGGTTACAGTATTATGTATCTTGGCACCCTCTCAAATTTTGCCCCCCAGATGAGTGCCCCACTTACTTCACTTATCCCAGACCTTAGTCCTGGTCCTGGATAACAATGAAATGATTGGGTTCCACATGGATGGCCCCAATGTTCACCCCTCCTGAGGCTCAGAGAGGTGAAGGAACTTCCCCAAGAGCAGGGATCTGAACTGGAGACGGGGGGCCAAGGTCCACCACCCGGCCATCACACCCTACCATGCTCTGCCCAGGAATGCTGATTTTAACGAGTGTTGATTTTTTAAAAACTTTTATTCAAGTGCAATCTTCACACACAAAAAGCTTAAATGTTCAATTTGCTGAATTTTCACAAACTGAGCACATTTGTATAACCAGCATGTGGGATTAAATTTAAAGCATATTTTACATTTCTAACAAACCAGACATATTAGTTTGTACTGGGCCAGATTCAGAGGACTTTGAGCTCAAGCAGGCGACTTGGGACAGTAAGGCTGGGGATCTGGGCCGATCCAGAGCTTAGGGTCTCCGCATAGAGACTGAGAAGGGGGTGGGGTGCAGCGCTAGGGTCTGTGGTTGGGGACGGGGCCCAGAGAGACGGTGGGGGCTGCCCTGGAGACGCCGTCCACAGCCGCGCTCCTCGCCGCGCTCCTGGAGGCGGGTGAGGCCCAGCCCCCGGGCCCAGGTGAGCCGGTGAGAAGGCACAGTCGCCAAGCCCCGGCCCGGGCGGGTCCCGGTGACTCAGCCCTTGCCAGGAAGGGGGAGTCCGCCCCGATCTCCAGAGCTCCCAGACGGCAGCCTGGTCGGGGCTGGCTCCCGGGGCGCCCGGCTAAGCCCCCGCAGCAGGCAGCCCGGCCCCGGGAGCTGGACCCCCTCCTCCCGGCCCGGGACCCACCCGGGCTCCCCACGGGGACTCGGG